GCTATCACTCAGAATCGAAGGCCAGATAAAGAGCTTCACTAATAAAAAAAAGCTAAAGGTGTTCATCACCACCAAACCAGAATTATATGAATTGCTGAAGGGGGTTCTTTTAGAAGAGAAAGTAAATAAAGATAAAAACTATGAACAACAAATATGTAACTATCAACACATGAATCTAAAAACCAAGGGAATTAAAAAAAATCTTATGAACAATATTAACTGGTGAATATAATAGAATCAGAAATATAGAAGGGGAGTGGACTGACGATTCTTGGGGAAAGGGGGAGAGGAGGGTATAGGAAGAGACTGAACATAAACTGTGCACCTATGGATGAGGACAATGGGGGGGTGGAGAAAGGGCAGAGGGTGGGGTGGGAACCTGGTGGAGGGGGGAAAATGAACTTTTGTAATAATATGAACAATAAAGATTTATTTAAAAAAAAAAAAAAGGAGGCAGTTACCTAAGAAATATTCTTGGCAGCAGCAGGAAATTTATAGGCTGGCTTTTGGACTATATATCTCATGATAAATGAAAAATCTAAATTAAAAAAACAACAACTCACCTCTCTAAAAATACCTGTACAGTGTCCTGCACCCACTGTTCCTCAGGGTTCAGGCAGAGCAATGTTTCATTGTACAACTTCACACTGAAATTAAAATCAACATTTAGTAGTTTCAGACACCCCTTTGCCACCCAACTCATTGTCCCTTAAGTATGGGCATGAAGTCTAAGTCAAAAGCAATTTAGAGCTATGAATCATGGGAGTGACCATACTTAATTGCCATTCATACCCAGAATATGTCCTTCTGTTTAAGCCACTACTGTATTCCTAATACCTAGAACTTTGTTGGATCCTTCCACCTTCCTCAGTTCTAGGTTCGCTAAAGGAAGATATCTAATCACTTTTCAAAGTACTTACATGATTTCTGTATGATCACACTGTGGTCCACTCTCAATCACTCTCAGTTCCCTGATATACTTGGGGTGGAAAGGTACAGAGTGCATACCAAGGCACAGGCATCGAACTTCTGACTTTCTACTCGGCACAATTGAAGCTGTGGGGAAATAATAAAAACAATTATAGATTGATTTCAACAATAGGGAGGGATCTGCTAGATACTCCCTCTTTAATCCCAATGTGATAATTGGAAGACTGTGTGTTTTACAACATCGCATCTTTAGCAAACTCATTCTAGAAATTGAAGGCTGGATATTCTCCTTGCCTCTGACATCAGTTTTTGTCAGTTTTCAAAAACAGTCACTCCTGATGACATTAAATAACCTCTACATAAAGACTGGAGTTGTCTTTCTGCAATGTTGACATCTTTAACATGCTTTTTTATCTACTAGATTTTCATAATTCTCTGTGATACCACAGTGCTATTTTTTAATATATTTTATTGATCTTTTACAGAGAGAATGTGAGAGTTATAGAGAGTTAGAAACATCGATGAGAGAGAACCATCGAACCAGCTGCCTCCTGCACACCTCCTACTGGGGATGTGCCCGCAACCAATGTACATGCCCTTGACCAGAATCAAACCCAGAACCTTTCAGTCCGCAGGCCAATGCTCTATCCACTGAGCCAAACCGGTTTCAGCCACAGTGCTATTTTTAGTATGCAAATTTAAGATTCATGAAAAGGGAAATTGCCCTCAGAAAGAATTAATAGAGATATATAAATGAGTTGCACAGAAGTGTCTTATATCTTAACACAATCTTCAATGCTTGAGAGCAAAGAAAAATAAAGGAACTAAATATCATAAACATCCTAAACTGTATTTATTTCATAAAATGAATCTCAAGAAGGTCTATGTTCTGTCAGGGTGTCCATAAATCAAAAGGGAATTTATAGCTTATCTGAAGTTTTTCAGTAAAATGGTACACAGTGTAAAATTATCTGAGTTATCTTGCTCAATATTAATTTATATTATAGGTAATTGTGGCTCCCAATAAGATATACTCTAACTTATACATTTATATTAAATACTAGAGGCCTGGTGCAAAAAAATTCCTGCACGGGGGGAGGTCCCACAACTCATCCTGCACCCTCTCCAATCTGGGACCCCTGGTGTTATGTCTGACTGCTGGCTTAGGCCCAATTCCTGAGGACTGCTGGCTTCTAACCACTTGCCTGCCTACCTGCCTGATTGCCCCTAACTGCCTCTGCTTTGCCCATGGGCTAAACCACAGTCTTACCTCCCCTTGTTAGAGGTGACTCGGCAAATCAGGGGAAGGCACCACCCCATTACCCTGCCTCTGCTGCCACTGCCTGGTGAGCCTGGGCCCTTCAAGGCTGCAACTGGGCCCTTCCAAGCCACCTGTGCCTGCCTGAGCCTGGGCCCTCAGTCTCTGTGGCTTTGTCAGGAAGGATATCAAGAAGATTGTCTGGAAGGACATTACCCTTTTATTAGCATAGATATGCATACTACAGAGTATAAATGATAAGAACAGAATGTCTGTATTAATCAAGCATTACATTTTTCTAATTGTATAGATACAGCCTAAACTAATTAAAACTCCATTTTCATTAATTACCATTAAATGACTGCAAAGATTATTTTCTATTCCTGAATAAAAAATGTTTCTTTGTTTTTCATCAAAGCAGGAAGGATAATCTTACCATCTAAGGATCACATTTAAACCCAGGAAAACTGCATGGGAAAGATGTGCTTACCTGCGTGCAGAGATGCAGAGAGCAGGACGGTTGCCAGAAGAGCAACAACTGGCTTGGAAGTCATGGTTAGAGCAAGTTGGTTTCTTATGAGCTCTTCTCCTGGATGCTGCTGAGGTCTGTTGTCCTCAGGGACTTGTGCTGGATGCAGAGCACCTCTGGCTTTTTATACCATCTCAACAGCGAGACCTGTGCAACAGCTCATTCTTGTATTAGGTCAGAGGAAATACCACCACCTGGAGCTTTCCGGTCACTCTTTGTGAACAAGCCTGAGTCACCATTGGTTTCTTATCTAATTCTCAGCATGATTGAATTTGTATTGCTTCTTTAAAATAATATAATTTCTTTCAAAAACATGTTTGCTTTCAAATATTTTTAAACAGTGAAGCTTCTCAGTTTGATACAATTGTCAGTTATATTCCTTTATATTCATAAATAACTTTATCATAGTACCATCTTCCAGCTGTTAGAGTAAGGTCATTTATGATTATTCTTTTACTAGAGGCCCGGTACACAAAATTCATGCATGGCAGTTGGGGAAGAGGGATTGTCTCTCAGCCCAGCCTGCACCCTCTGCAATCTGGGACCCCTCGAGAGTTGTCTGACTGCCCATTTAGGCCTGATCCCACCTGCTCACCTACCTGCCTTCCTTATTGCTGCTAACTGCTTCTGCCTGCCAGCCTGATCACCCCCTAACCACTCCATGCCAGCCTGGTTGATGTCTAACTGCCCCCCTGCCAGCCCATTTGCCCCCAATTTCCCTCCTCTGCCAGACTGGTAGCCCCTAACTGCCCTCCCCTGCAAGGTTGATTGCCTTCAATTGCCCTCCCTTGCAGGCCTGGTGCCTCCCAACTGCCCTCCCCTATTTGCCTAATCACCCACAACTGCACTTCCCTGCTGGCCATCTCGTGGTGGCCATCTTATGTCCACATTGGGGAGGGTCTTTGACCACATGGGGTCAGCAATATTGTATGTTGGAGTGATGGTCAATCTGCATATTACTGTTTTATTAGATAGTATAGAGGCCCGGTACACAGGTGGGATGGGGGTTCCCTTGGGGCATGGGGTGCCCTGAGCAAATAACCTGTGGTAGATTGCAGGCTGGCCATGCCCCCTGGCAACCCAAGTGGAGGCCCTGATATCTGGAATATATTTACTTTCTACAATTGAAATTTTGTAGCCTGGAGCAGGCCAGGCTCTGATTTTATAGCCTAATTGCTTTGTGGTGGCAGAGGTTTCTGTTTGAATTTGTTTACCTTCTATAATTGAAACTTTGTAGCCTGGATTGGAGGTTTAGGCCTGCTAGGGCAGGTGGAAAGCTTAGCTTTTTTGTTGCCAGAGAAACCCAAGCCTCTGTGGCTATAGCCATCTTGGTTGGGTTAATTTGTATACTGGCTCTGATTGGCTGGTGGGTGTGGTTTTGGAGAGGAGTAATGGTTAATTTGCATATTACTCTCTTATTAGGTAGGATACACAATTTCTTTATGTAAAGTATATGTGCTGTGATGAGAGTGTTGACCACTTTTATTGTGGACATTTTATGAGCAGCTCTTTCCTAAGAGTTTTGGAAAGTTTCTTCTCTCAAGGAAATAGTACAACTTTTCAAAAGATTTGTTATTCTAATGTATACTTAATGGAATGAAATTAGTATCTTTTCATTCTTTCTTACAAATATTTATCAAGTAACTTCTCAGTAAAGTGTACTTGTTCTTAAGGGGTTTAGTCTATCAAAAGAAGTAAGCAACATTAGGGACCTGATATTATATATATATATCTATCAATATATATCTATATGTCTATATCTATATATCTATATCTATATATCTATATCTATATCTATATGTCTATATCTATATATCTATATCTATATATCTATATCTAGATCTAGATCTAGATCTAGATATAGATCTAGATATAGATATATAGATATAGATATAGATATAGATATAGATATAGATATGTTTCATATTTGAAGGGAGAGTAAGAGAGCTAGAAACATCAGTAATGAGAGAGAATTATTGATGGGCTACTTACAGCACACTCCCCAGGGATTGAGCCCAAAACCCCAGGCAGGTGCCCTTGACTGGAATCGAACCCTGGATGCTTCAGTCTATAGGCTGACACTCTATCCAATGAGCCAGACCTGCTAGGGTTCCTCTTGCTTTTAACTCCACTATTTTAGGTACTTCATTGTTCTTTTATTATATATATATCAATTGTATGTTAATGCCAAGTGTTATAGACTGAGCTGTGATTACTGTGTAAATAAAATCAAATCTCTGATTTCAAAGATTGTGCAGTCTGGTGCCAGATATGGACAATTAGTGACAGGAGCAACTACAGTTTTGATGAATTTATAAAGAAACAACCTCAAAGCTATGACCTAAAATGGGTAATGAGTTGAAGTAAAACCAATAGTGTGGGGAGAAAGGGTGGCTGCCTTGCTTATGGAGGAAAAAACAAGTAAAAGGTAATGAGATTTAAGAGAACATAGTCCGTTTGGGTTCTTGACATTGTTGAACATTGTATGAAAAGCAGTGAATGGAATGAGGAGAGGAAAAAAGTGAAGCCAGCTATGTAAGGAAGACCCAGATCTTAAAGGAAATTGACTGCTTCTTTTCTTCAGTAATATTGATTTGTTCAGCAAGGACATAGGACATATTCTCCTATGGGCAAACCTTAGATGACTGGTTCAGTCCCTCACCATCAGGACACAATCTAGTGGCACCACTCAGATGCTCACTGCTGTGAGGATTTGCAAACTTCTCAGCCTCTCAGGTTGCCTTTGTGTTTTTCCTGAGTCCTACTAACTTAGCCACCTCCTTGCCATCCGCATTCCACCTCCTCATCTCCTCCTTTTCTCCTCTCAGGGTATCACTTGTAGTATGATACCAACCTTGTTTGCTTTTTCAAAACAATAGAGCATTAATTAATAAGGCAAACCAACCTCTTTGCTGTTGTTCGTTCCTCACAATGTAGCCTTGATGCATTCTGTCCTCGGACTCTCTTCATGAGAGGTAATAGTGAATAAAAATAAACGACCACCTTCTGTAAAGGTAACCCTTTGAAGTAAGTAGCATAGGGGTTAAAGAGCAAAAAGGGCTAATTATCCTATTTGAAAATGCTGCTTTTAAATAGAGTAGAATGGAGTGAAAACTTTAACAAAGCTGCACATACATGCAAATGATATTTTATGACCCACTAAGGATGAATGTAAGCTTTATGGGACTATCAAACAGCAAGCTGTTTAAGTTCTTAGCAGTTCCAGAAACATGAGAAGCAGTTACCAGGCGAACATTCAGATATTTCCATAGTCATGGGATCAAATCTATCACCCAAGAAAGGAAAGAGCTCAAGAAAAAGTCAAGACAAAGATTGGCATTTATTTTCCACATCTATAAATAACTCCTCTTTTTCCATCAAACTCCCCACAAGAAAACTGAATGTTTTTGGTATTTTAAACAACCTAGGGAACACACCACCCTTCATATAATGTCTTTTAGAATTAGGGCATTCTATTAAATCCAAACAAAATTGTATTTATATAACAAAGCTGAATGTGGTGAGAAAAAAAATGTGGGCTTTTAACTGAGATGAACTTAGGTCTAAATCTTGCCCCATGATTATTACCGATAGATCATGAACAAGCTGATTCTACCTTAATATTATAATGCTGCTGCTTAAATCTGAACCACATTTCTTAATCCCAGTAGTTAAGTCTCAACTTAAACCTGGAATTTTTTTCTCCTTTTGAGGAAATTAGCCTCAACTCAGACATCCCTGAGGTTAAGAGTACCATAGACAAATGCTATATATATCAATGAGTTTGCCTATAATGTTGTTACTGCTAATATCATAAATATAAAATACCTTTTCTCTAAAACTGTAGTCAACAGAACTCAGTTAGCTGAAATATTTAAACATGTTCTTACTTTTTGCAGATAATATGTCTATAAAAAATTAAACGGCTCTTGGATATTTCAGTTATATTTTTAAATTCAAATTTATTCGGTTAGTCTTTTATAAAAATAATAAGCAAACTTGAACCATGCTAGTATAGGTATCATACTCTTTAAAGAAAAATAATTTTCCAGTCTTCACAAGTTGGAAAATCAAACAGCTAAATTCATTAGTTTAGACCAGTGTCAAGTATAAGTGTTGAGGAAAGACAAACCTGCCTTCAAGCCTGGCTTCATCACTTACTAGACAAATTCTCAGAGAATTTAAAAAATCTCATTGAGTCTTAGTTTCCTTATCTGTAAAATGGGAATAATACCAGTTCCATAGGATCACAGTGAGAGTTAAATGAGAGCCTGTATGGAAAATGCCAAGAGTGGGACCTGGCACATAGAAGGTACTCAGTAAATGTCATCTGTCATTAAAGTCACATTGAACTTTGCCTGGAATGGGAGAACCACATTTCTTGTTAAAAGCTGACCAATACTGAAATAAATGTCTATTAGCACAACATATCCTCTAAAATTTACATCTAGCTGCTTTTATTTCTTTCAGTTGAAGAGCTTACTGGATTTGTGAATAATAATTTGATTCACATTTGTGTGTTTAAAAAAAGTACTGTGTAGATAACACAGAGAAATGAGTATCATTTCCAATTTTATCTCCCAAATCAATGGAGATTTTGAGATGGAGTATGAAGGAAGGAATTGGAGAAAGAGGCTGGTTGTGTAAACAGGTGTTTATTATAGCCTTGGAATATTTGAAATCAGCCTGTCTTAAAAAAAATCAAAGGCAGACTCGGAGAAACCAAGATGGCAGCATAGGGTAGACACCCGAATGCAGCCTACCACAACAAATTTGAATTTAGAACTGAAAAACAGGGGAGGCATTGCCCTGAAGCGCCAGACAGCTGGCTGAGAGGAGGCTCTGCCATCTGGGAAGGAGAGAGAAGGCACACGGAACCTCAGGAACTGTGAAGGTACGGAGAACTGTGTGTGCGAAAAGGCGCTGGCTTAATCCCTGTGAGGAGAGGAAGGGCCAGACTGAGATTGCTGCTGGCTTACTCCCTGCACGCAGAGAGGGTGGGCCGGGCTGAGTTCGCTACTGGCTTACTCCTGGCGCGGAGAGGGCGAACAGCTAACGCGGCTGGCTTTCTTGTCCGAGAGGAAAACAGAATCACCCTTTTGCTCTGATAAACGGCCCCAGACAGGGAGAGGCCAGACTGTCAGGCAGTGGGCAGAGATCTCTTGGAGGTGTGTGAAGCCAGAGGCCATTACTGCGGGACTTGGGGAGGAGCCGAAGGGAAAACAAAGTTTGTCTGCACCAACCCAAGACTCCGCCCTACCTGTGGCTGAGCACAGAAGCTCTCCCAGAGGCTGGCTTTCTCTAAGGAGGTACTTGCAGGAATCCAAAGCATGTCTGCGCCTTTACCAAAGAGGTGCGCTTGCCTGCAACCAATCTTCCAAAACTCTCCACGAACAGGACTTTTCTAAGGCGAGACTGACAGGGAACCAAAGATTGTCTGCGCCACCCCGAGACCCCGCCCTATTCAAGCAGAGTACGGAAACCCTCC